ATGTATTGCTGGTAAGCGTTTTTACCCTTCAATATTGTATTGCTGGTAATATTTTTCCTTCAAAAATTTATTTTTGATTTATTATCTGCAACTTTTACTTATAGTGGACCCTAAAGAATGTTGTGTAACGCAGACAGCCAACTACATTGGCGGCCCTTAGACAAGAAACTGAAAATTCATGAGCAGTAATCTTACTGGACACTTTGGCCAATGTTGCCCAGGAAGTAATGTGCCGTACTAATAAATGTCTGAAATTGAAAGGCCACCATTTTGTACATCTCTTGTTGTACGTGCGATGGTAGAGTTCACAGTTAACTTGTAATAATCTCCTAATCTCTGAATAAATTCAGTATTACAATATCTATACAAGGTTTTCCTTTCCTGGGATGTGGATACATTTTCGGGTGGACTCTCTATATATGCATGTAAAGGGAAGAGGTTATAGTTGTTCCAACGAGAGAAAAGTGTATATATTAAAAAGAGAGAAACTGCAAACGTTTTTGGTTGTAATGTGGATTTTTAAAAAGAAATATGTTTAGTTTCCATAATTTTGCTACATGCATTTCCGGTCTCGCGATCTTCATCAGGCAAAGAGTGAATATTTCCACATATTATTAAAAGAAATTACTTTTTCAAGAGCCGTTCGATATTAGACATTCTCTTTTTATGTGTTAGTGACACAAATGTCTTCCTTGAACTGGCAGTGAAAAAGTTCTTCTGCGTAAAGGGTAATAAAACAATTAAGATTGGTCCGAGAAAGATATCTGTATTCTGATCTTTTAATGACACTTGTATGTTCTTAGATCTATTTCCATCTTTTTGTGTACGTGTCAGCATGCGTATATTCTCTCTAGATACATATATACTTTCTTATTATAAGGAATTAATATACATATATACATACACTTCATAATATATATATATATATATATATATATATATATATATATATATATATATATATATATATATATATATATATATATATATATAATATATATATATATATATATATATATATATATATATATATATATATATATATATATATATAATATATATATATATATATATATATAATATATATATATATATATATATATATATATATATATATATATATATATATATATATATATATATATATATATATATATATATATATATATATATATATATATATATATATATATATATATATATATATATATATATATAATATATATATATATATATGTGATATATATATATATATATATTTTATATATATATATATATATATATATATATATATATATATATATATTTATATATATATAATATATATATATTATATATATATATATATATATATATATATATATATATATTTATATATATATATATATATATATTTTATATATATATAACATATATATATTTTATATATATATATATATTATTTATATATATATATATATATATATATATATATATATATATATACAAAAACATATATATAACCCATATTACTCTATATATATATATATTTTATGTTTGCACATGTATGTAGATGTGCGTAATTGTGTGTCTGCGTGTGTGTAGGCTTTGTGTATACGTGAGCTTGTTTACAGCTGTATGTCTGAAAACGTAGACAAATCCTTGTGTGTGCGTCTTTTGCGTGTCTATATGTAGATGAGAACGTGTGTATCAGTGTGCATGCGCGTGTTTTTGTAGGTTTGCGTGTGTCTCTCTTTGTACGTGTGACTCTGTAGCCATTTTAAATCTAATACCGGCTTTGCATGCGAGCGCTTCTCCGTGCGTGTGTATACTGACTGTATTGTATGCGACTGTAACCTGTTTTAATCTAATTTCGAGACCGTTGCCTCGACCGGCCGAGTGCTAACTAACCAGCTGATGAAAGACGATCAACTCAATGCAACGCTTCTATAACCTGAAGTGCAACTTTTATTCGTTTGCAGGTTGAGCGGTCGAAACTGTTTGGGACTTCTCGACTTGACACATCCATCAATCAATAATTACAAGCCAAGCAGACAAGTTTGAGGTCAGTCACTCAGACGATGGGCGCCTGGCAGTTAGCCACCAGCCATGGTCAGTGGTCACTAACTGTTCAGCTTAAACCGCTTTTTCTCTACGATTCCAACTAAACGATGCATGATTGTGTCAACTGAAGCGGATGCCCAAGTGAAAAAGGGAAAAGCCATTGTGCCGGGCTCAGTGAAAATATCAAATTACTTGAGCTGAGTTCAGTTTAACACTAAAATGCATTCTCCTCAGAGGATATTTTATCCAGTTCTATAGATCGATAGCAAGAAACTATGACAAAATCGAATGTTTATGCTACATTTAATTTATTTGATGTTGATCTCGGATTATAGACTCAAGTAACAGATGAAAGGTCTCTTCTGAAATTAAGTTTATGCTATACTAATGAATATGTCAGAAGTGTTCGTTATCAAGCCCAACTGTTATTATCAGCTTAATCTTGGCTAGGACAAGATAGAAAAAAAATGCGCGGTACGTCAATGGGAATGAATTCACCGAAGTTATAGTGGTTGACAAGAGGTTTTTTGCTTGCTTTTTTTTTATAAGGAAATTTTTTAAAAAAAATGTATGGTCGTTAACAAAAGATAACTAGCCGCAAGGGGCGGGGGTGCTACAAACAGGAGAGATCAAAATCAAGAAGATATGGTAAGATATGTACTTCTACAGATAGATGCTGAGAATATGTACCGGGTGTAACAGCAAAATTTTCTAAATCGTCTAACTGCATAATTGCCCATCCCACAAAATGTTTAATATCTAAAAAAAAAAAAATCATTAAACTGAATTTCTTTTTTCCAGTTTTTCAGATATGACATTTAGCAATCTTAACATTATTTGTAGCAAGAAAAACAGAGAAAACCTTTTAAAAATCGTATCGTGTCAGTCCCACTGTCTTCCCAACTGAGCAATGGTGAGAGGTAAAAAAAATCATTAAACTGAATTTCTTTTTTCCAGTTTTTCAGATAAGACATTTAGCAATCTTAACATTTTTGTAGCAAGAAAAACAGAGAAACCCTTTCAAAAAAGATTAAAAATCATATCGTGTCAGCCACACTGTCTTCAAAACTGAGCAATGGTGAGAGGCAAAAAATCATTCAGGCGTTCAGTAATGATACCCACATTCATACAATGGCTTCCATCTTCAAAGTCCATTCTAGAACCATCAAGAGAACGGTGAATATGTTTTTAAAAAGGGGAATTGTAGAGAGGAAAACTGGATCAGGAGGTCCCACCAGGAAGAGGGATCCTCATTTCAACTTAGCTACAGAAATCAATTAGAAATGACTCAACTCAATCCATAAGACATTTGGCTCATGAGAGAAAGAGGAGTCTCAGCTATGACAGTCCAAAGAACAGTGCAAAAAGGCTTAAAATTGAAATCGTACTTGAAACTTCTGAGGCACATTGTTCTTCCAGGACAGAAAGTTAGAGGGCGAAGATCATCTTGAATAAGTTGGAATATGATCCTGGAGATATATATATATATATATATATATATATATATATATATAAAATATGGAATATGTGTGCACCTGTGTTATGATTGGGTGGTATCCGTCATAATTACCGACGGACGTGTAGGTACGAGTGTGAGTCAAAGTGCCTTAGTATGATAGCTAAGTCTATAACGATGCCCATTGGACTACGCCATTGATCTACACTTCTGACCTGTGACTACGACGCGTACCAGTCGATTATTGCTACCGTATTATACTTGTTTATATTAGCCAAAACCCACTTAGCTACTTCGTTCAAATATATCCCTTTACGGAATATATATATATATATATATATATATAATAATCCTTCATGAGCTGCCAATCCGTAGCTATGATAAATTAATGATGAATATGTCATTTTTGTTTTTGATCGATTTCAATTCTTCTGTTAAACATGGAGAGGAATTATATATTCTTATTATTGCTCAAAGTCGAGACCAATAGTGTTATTAAAACCTCGGAGAATTCCAGTAAGATATCTTTAATTAATTCTAAGATACACCGGTTCAGATCTTAATCTAACATTTGGACAAATTTGCTGTTACACGATTTGGACAATTCTGCTGTTATACCTGATAAGCAACGAGGATTTTTTTTAAGGAAATTGGGAAGAGAAAAGAACATTTATACCCAGAATAAGAAAGAGACAATGGAAATTTCTTGGGCATACAAACAGCAAAACTTTTGGTGAATTTGGCATTCACAAGATATATTGAGGGCAAGAACAGAGAAAACTTAACAAGTTTCTGTAAACAGATAGCAGAACAACGGCTGCTGTGACCTTCATTCTTTATTTGCCTTGTCCCGTTAAGAGGTAGGCGATCATAGTTCTCCACAATTTCCTAGATATTGTAGCCCTTAATAAATTTTGTCTTTTTGTTATTTCTCCTAACCCCTGTCCCGCCAGCGATTTACTCGAGTTCATTAAATACCTTATACGTTGTTTTCCTCTTGCCCTCAATCCGCCCTATGAGTATCAGATTTTCCAATCCCCATTCCTCATTACGTGTCCCAGAAATTTCAGCTGTCTCTTCTCGATGTTAAATATAAGTTTCTGTTCGTTTTCAATCTCTATCAAATCTTGTCATTGCTCACATGTTCGGTCCATGGTATCCTCATCATCCTTCTGTAGAAGCCCATTTTCGTTGCTCTAAGCCTGTTCTTCATCTTTGAGGACATTATTCAGTATTCCCAGAGGACATACATCACGTAACAGTTAAGTACTCTTTTCTTTGTTCCTAACGATGTTTTTCTTTCTCCTTATACTTTGCTTAGCTTTTGGAATGCACCTTTGGCTATCCCAGAGTGTCTTCGGATTTCAATGCTGCATTTCCCGTTCTCGGTTAGAACCCTTATCAGATATTTAAATTGTTGTACTTGTTTGATTTTAAAGTGCAAAACATTACTTAAAGCTAAAACAGGCTAATTATTTACACGCAGACAGTTGTCCTCATTTTACGACCATACCACGTTCAAATAGCGGTTTTCGTCAGATCACCAAAGTTAAGCAACGTCGAGACTGGTAAGTATCTAGATGGGTTACCGCTTGCGAATACCAGTCGCTGCAAGCTTAGATGTTCATCTAAGGTAATGGATATCGACTCGGAATGAGAAATCAGTGAACAGAGTTCGAATTTCGGTCGAGTTCGTTGCAATCACTTACGCGCCAATATGAATTCGCTTCTTCCGCCAGCTATGGTTAAATAGTTGGACTTGTAGCTGAAAACCATTATTAGTTCGAAAAATTTTAACTTACTTTTTAAAAGTATCGTGTAGTTTTCTATTTATCCATAGTGATGTACTCACGCGTTTTATCGATATTTAAAAAGCTCAAATATTATAAACAAGCAGAAGGCCACAAAAATGGAACACCCAGAGATAATCAAGATTGCAACCTTATAGTAGATTAGGCTTTTGACAATGCTTCGTTGTGGTAGTAACCGTTAGAGAGCTGATCTAGCAGACTATTACCCATGTGTAGTGCCTTTTATTATTACGGTAAGTATTACGTGTATAATAATAAGCTTACGGTCAAATCACGCTGAAAACACCGGTTCTCGTTCGATCACCGAAGTTAAGCATCGTAGAGCCAGGTCAGTACTTAGATGGGGGACCGCTTGGGAACACCTGGTACTGTAAGCCGCCAAAGTCCAACCCTTACCCCACAGTCGGTGGGGGAGTGTAAACAGTAGTGTCAGAGCTATGCCGCCGGAACTTCGTTCCTGGTAGAGGACCACCCAAGGCGGACAGGTCTGACACACACGCCGGCTAACAAGGGCTCTGGTGAAAATCCAAGGAGCGTCTGCATCGGTAACCAGCAGCTTCTGGTCGTTCCTGTCTCTGCGTCTGTGGGAACCCCGCGGCAAGCAAGAACGTTATCCGAGTAGGCCTGGGTACCCTACTTCTGTAATTTATCCCAAGAATCTTCTCATAACAGGAAGAAGCCGGCTCAATCCGCCCAGGGTGAATGCCGCATCAGTAGTACAGTACAGTACAGTAGTACGTGTATAATACCTACGCCGAAATTTCAGCAAGAAAATTATGAAAAAAATCTCTCGTTTATAATAAACACTGAATCAGTTGAACTAGTAGCAGTTGAATTTAATGTAAATGCAATACTTGTTCCATATTTATCAGGGTTATATCGAGAAAAAAAGTAAGAATTTATAGAGTACATTATGTTTTGAAACATAAAATGTATCCAGTATTTGGAGTTGTTGTGGGAAGACCAGTTGTGTTTATCTAGAAAACACGTGTCTCTTTGTTTTATGTTTCTCGTAACAATTATTGCGGACTCGAACGTGAGTCCAAGTAATAAATCAGTAACACAAAAATAATATAAAACAAACAACAGTGCATGTTTTAATAAAATTATTACATTAATAGTAAACGAGGAAAACACTTAATGACTAGTTTAATAAAGCGTTTAAATTTGTGTTCATGTAGGCCTGTGATAGACACATGTATGAAAGAAATAAAAAACGTCAGGTGAGAAAAGTAAAACATTGTATATGAACGTGACCTAGAGGGAACACATGTTTCTCACGTGTGACTACATCTTATAGCCAGAGTTGTAAAAAAGGGAAAAAAAAATGAGTGAGAATATCGTTTCCTATTTATAGGCATAAGGAGCGTCCCCTAGGGGCGGTTTCTTTTAGAAAAGTCAAGTGGGATAACACACAGAGCAAATGTACGGACGTCTTCAGAAAATGTAACAAGTTTACGATGAAAATAAGCGTACACTTGGAGAAACAAAAGTGTAAATACACACATTGCGTTCCTTCGTAGCTATTTGCATGTCGAGGCGAAAGCCAGAAAGTCCAGAGAAAAGAAGACTAAGACATCTACTGCCAACATTGTCGTGGCATCGATCAAAATATGCTTAAAACAAGATATGATGTACGTACAAAATATTGTAGCAGACCGATCCGGAAAATAGTTTATATTTAGTTTTCATGTATAATGCCCACACCTAAATGTTAACCTAAAAGATAGGTGAAGAATTACGTTAGACGTGTTGAGGACCCGTCAGCGTGCAGTGCTGGTTTATTACTAAGTGGCCTTGTGCCAGACACCACACTAAACTACCGAGTCCACAAGCAATGTAAAATAAAAAAAATAATAATGCGTGAATGAACAGTGAGAGGAAAGGGGTCAATCAATAAGTGCATAAATTAATGAACATCAAAGAGATAGCCGGAATAAAATGACAAAGACATCTGTTTGTAAAACATGTGTAACTTTAATTAGATGGAAACAAGTAACTTATCTCGTGGTACGAGATTAATGAAAAATGTCCCGCGCCAAAATAGAAAGCAAGATGGCTAAGGCGGGAAAAAGAGTTTTATAAGGTTCTGGAAAAGGATGTGCGCAGATATAAAAGGAGTACTCACTGTGGATTTTTTTTTTTTTTTTTTTGGCGTTCTAAGTGTGTGTGGTATTTTTGTGTTCAGGTTCATAGTTAAAAAGAATGTTCGGTCGTCTCAGAGTTTTTGGTGAGGCATTGAATTGGCTGCTGGAAATTTTACAGGATTGCTGTGGGCATCTAGCCAGGAGAAACGAAGAATGTTTGAAGCGAGTTTCATGGTCTTGTGGAGTTGTTTACGGCGAGCCCAGAGAGACGAAAAATATATGTTCGTTAGTAATATATCCCTGTCTGTATTTACTGTTGACTGACGAGGGATAAATGTAAGTCACCTGTTGAATACGAATTTTTGCTCACGACCGTGTCGTGTGTCTCTGACGTCTTCTGGTCGAAAACGGAGAAGGTCTGACCTGCGGGCAGCTTCAAGACGAGAAGAAGTCTTGGTAAAGTGTGAAGTCGACATTGTTGAGATAAGATATTCCGGCCCGCATATGGGTTAAGGGCACGGAATAAATGAGTTGCCCGTCTAGTCAGGTTGAAGCTCGGAAGGCAACTGGCTTGCAAACGCTGGCCGTTTGAGACGCCGCGAAACGCGCGGGAAAAATTCAAAATCTGTTAGTCTGAGTTCATCAGTAGGAGCTAGCGAAGGTTACTGCTATGTCTAGCTGTGAGAGGAAGAAAGGGGTGAAAACCGCGCGCACACACGCACGAGTGTGAAAGGAAGGGAGGAAACTCGACGGCGCGTAAAATATAGATGGAATTAATGTGTTAATTCCATAGACGTTTCATTTTCATGGCATTGTGCCAAACGGATCGAATAGAGGTAAATTATTATAATATCAGCATTGTCTGGCACAATTCCATAAGTTTGGAACACGAGTGTGACTTGAACACACTACGCTAGTGTAATTTTTTCTTAATAATTTCACCCCAAATAAGGCAATGAAACTACTAAGATGCAATGGGGTTACTTAGTGCGAAAGAATATGAGAAGAAAAAAAACATGATTAAGAAGAGAGAACTATAAAAGTACAGGAAATAAGGAAACAAAAGACAGCGTTAGACACGACGATAGGAAAAGAATTCCACATGCGAGAAGTGCGAGAGAAGAAACTGTTAGCATAGAACTTACGGTTACATCGAGACCAGCTCAACTGTAAAAATTCGTAAAGTCGAGATAACAAAGACGAGAGCTCATCAGAACAAGAAATACAGAAAAGGCAAAATGAAGCTACATTAGACGGTGGAAGAGTGACTGAAGCCGAAATGCCGAGTGAAGACGATAACATTGCAAATTATTTTGATTTTGTCAAGAATCTCTAAATACATAGCAGAAGCAACATGCCATATGTAACAGTAATATTGATCGGTAGACTTAGCAATCTGTAAAATAGATTCTAAGGAGGCATGGTGGGGTAATGGATAAGAGCTTGGATTGAGGAATCTGAAAGCTCAGTTGGAATTCCAGTCGAATCCATTACATTCACTTACGTGTTAATGCCCTTGGGAAAAGTATGAATCCTGTTCTTCTTTCTCCAGCTATGTATAAATTGTAGGAAAGACCGGATTCTATAGCCTTGGAATGGGAACTGGCCTGCCGCAGAAAGAAATGGCAACCTACTCCAGAGAAAAAAAAATCTGCCTCGTCAGTCATGTATCCAAAGATACATGATCGCTATTTACATTGTTCGGACTATTGTTCTCATCTTTTTCGCCATATTTATTACAAAGTTTCGGCGATTGTACGCTTCGGCCTTCTTCAGGTGGTTGGAATGTCGAACTGAACACTTTCTTTCGCTCATTGAGTTAGACTGTTCTAGTTCCACGTGCCATGTCTAATGGATGTCAGTTATCAGTTATCTCCTGTTAATTCCCCTCTCTAAGTTTTCCACCGCCTTAACCAGGTATTGAACTCACACTCTAAAGGTGTTAGTTAGATCCAGTGACAGGACCAAAAGATACATACACATATATATATATACATAGATAGATAGTTAGATATAAATAAAAAGATAGATAGATATAAATAAAAAGTGAACATAGAAGTCAACACTTAGAGGCGACAGTCTGTTTCATGCTATATGCAATCGTCAGGCCACGTGTGCTGTTATTTTTCTCGGCTATTTATACATATACGGGTCAGTGGTGCATTGTGGGTAGTCTATTATGGCGGTTATTATAGCATGAAACAGACTGTCGCCTCTAAATGTTGACTTTTATGTTTACTTTTTTATTTACACACGCTCTATCTCTGATATCGAGCACTTTATCCCATAAATATAGCACACCTTGAGACTATATTTCTTCATATATATATATATATATATATATATATATATATATATATTCATACAAACTCACATATATGTATGTATTCACACACACTCACATGTATGTATGTATGTTTTCACACGCACTCACATGTATGTATTCACACACACTCACATGTATGTATACCGTATGGCTTAAACAACGGTAGCGGATTCAACTGAACTCCTGATTTTTAAAGTTTTTTTTTATATATATATATATATATATATATATATCGCTCCCACTCTCCACGTGTATGTATATGTGGTAGTGCTAGTGGTTTAGATCTAGTAATAAGGCGAGCCAAGTTCGAATAACAGTCGTTCATTAGATTCACTTTCGCGCCAAGACAATTTGGAAAGGCGTAAATCCATCATTCTCCCTCTGGATAAAT